GAGATTTGTTAACAAGTCGAATTTTATTTATTAAAAAATGAGTAGTGATTGGAACAATATTTTAAAAGAAATAGACAATATATCAAAGCTAAGAATAAAATAAAGTCACAGGTTGAAAATAACAAATAACAACAACTTGGATTAGCAGAAAATCTACAAACTTTATTTCAACCAATATTAAAGACTCAAGAGGATATTAAAAAGAAATTAGCTTTAGAATCTACACCTTAAGTTAATCCTTCTCATATAGATACCCCGATCCAAAGCCGATTGAATATGGTGAAATTATAATTAGGACATTAGATGATATAAAACATTATTTTTCAAATTCAGATTCAAACTATTGATGATGGTGGATTACTAATTAACAGTTTTAAGTTTCGTTTCAATAAAGAAAACCTAACATTTAAAATTGACACAAAAGAAGGTATATATAATTTAACAACTGGTATCATTAATCTTATGAATGGATACGATGAAGGTTATAGTTATGACGATTTAAATGCATACGTATAAATTCTTCAATTGATTAGAAGAGGAGCAAAAACCTCAAGGTTAAAAAAGAAGATAGAAGAATTAGAAGAGTTTGATGACGACAGTGATGTCAACTATGATGATGATGACTACAGTAATGATAATTACAATGATGGTAATTTAAGTGATAATAATATTATAAAGAAAATCAATGACTTTTTAGAACATACATGAGAAGGTAAATTTTTTTTATCCGATAACAACGAGGAATTGCTGAATAGATCCGAATAATATCAGCAGCAATGAGAGAAGGTCATCGTTCTTACAGACAATATAATGAAGTAAATTGTATTTTAAAAAGACTCCTAGAGAAAGGTTTTATACATGAAAATGATTATAAATATGTTCAGATAAAAATATCCTATAAAAATGTCAAATAAATTACAATTATTCGTTATAACCTCAAATAAATCAGTCATTAAATTATCTCTAGATTAAGTGTATGAACTCGATCGCAATCACGAATATGAATTGGGATTTAAAGTATTTCTCTGTTTACAATTCCATTAGAACTATCAACAAAGATAATAACCAAATAAAAATATCAACGAATACTTATCTGAATTTGGAGGAAGTGTAAATGGTAAAAACAAAATTGAATTCGAAGGTAATTTGAATCTGAACAAAATATAATTGATATTGAGAACTAATAATCAAGTTGATTTCAATGTGGAAAATTCATTAAATGATTTAATAGGGTTTGATAAACAAATATTTACAGAATCAACATTAGCACTACACAAGGCTAATATCGAGAATGATATTAATATTCACTGTAATTTGATAAACAGTGGATTTTTCAATAAATACAAACGTCAGATTATTTACAGTATTTGAACATTCACTATACCGATTGGATATAGAATTATACAAAAACCATTTCAAGTATGATTAAAGATATAAATCTGGAAATCAAAGATGGTAAAAATTGGTCTGACTTTGGAAATGAAGAAATTGCAATACAACTTCATTTGAAAGAATTGTCTAGTAATTCGGCTTTTGATTCTGAGAAGTATAGAAATAGATTGATCTACTTTCGATTTCAATTATAGAATATTTGTTACATTTCTGTGTGTAATACTTTATTTCACACGAATCTGCAATATTCAACTTACCGAAATAGATCTAAATCATAACCATTTTGACAGATGATTGAGAAAAGATTTGCTTGTTTGAGTGTTTGTTGTTTTCTGCTAATTTGTGAAGTCAGGAGCTATTTTAAACTTTATAATAATACCCCTTATAATAATAATAATAATAATAACTTTATTTATGGGATCTTTCTGCATAAAACTACAATAACATATTTACAAAATGATAAACAAAAATAAGAATGAAAATAAATGAATATATGAAAATGTATGGTTGCGATAATAATGTGATTAACATTAACAATAAATTGAATTAATTTGAATTAATTGAGGTAATATTTCCCTTTGGTTATCAGATGAAGAGAAAATATAGTACTATTAGACACACAATTTCATATTATGATTGTAATTCCCTTTTCAGTCCTGTCTTAAAACCCTCTTCATCATTAGATTGTTTAAGTACTTGAGGTAATGAATTCCAGAGTAAACTAGCCTCGTATTTAAATGTTCTTTTCATGGCCTCATGGCACTTGGGTAGATGTAATGAGTTTTTTGTTTCCGAACGTAGACAGAGAGTTATTGTAGAAATTGAAGATTGTAACCGAAAATAATATTGAAAGTAGTGAGGACATTTTCCATTCATAATTTTGTAAGTCAGTATCCCAGTGTTATATTTAATTCGTTGTTCAAGAGTTAGCCAATTTAATTGAGAAAACAAGTCTGTCGATCTTGTATCATAGTTCGCCTCAAGGATACTGCGCACTGCACGTTTTTGTAGCTTAAATAGGAAGTCAAGTTTATTCCGGAAAGCATTACCCCACACAATATGACAATAGTCTAAATGAGGCGATATATAGGCATTATAAAATAATATTCGTGTTTCTAATGGTAGATTTATTTTAATTATATTAAGAAGATATATTTTAGATGAAACAAACAGTGAAGTTCAGTTAAATGTTTCCCCCAGTCTAAGTGATCATCTATCGTAATTCCGAGTAAAATAGCTTCCGAGACATTGTCCAACTTCTGGTCACCAATGGAGAGAGAAAGGTATTTGTCACTGTATCTTTCATGTTTTATCAACATACTTATTTGCTTTGATAACCATACCATTATCACAGCACCATTGGCTGATAATGTTTAAGTCCTCTTGAAGACAGCTTTGAATGTAGTCTAGTTTTTTATCGGAAAAATGTATAGTAGTATCATCAGTAAATATTTCGGGAATGACATTTTTAGTATAAAGTGGAAGATCATTTATGAAGATAAGAAACATAAGTGGTCCAAGGATAGATCCCTGAGGAACACCACATTTTAGCGTCCTCTGTATGGATTGAAAATTATTTGTTACGGTTTGATAAATACGATTTAATTAAATATAACAAATTAGGATGAAATTTATATAAAATAAGTTTGTCAAGAAGGAGCTGGGTGATCCAAAAGATCAAAAGCCTTACTGAAATCCAAGTAAACACCAGTCAATTTACATGGTCTAAACATTCAAGCCAATTATCAGTAATCCGAACTAGTGCTGTAGAACAAGAATGATTCTCTCTAAAACCAGACTGGTTAACATAAAATAAATTGAAATTATTAAAAAAGGACTTAATATTAATGGAGATATGTTTTTCAAAAATTTTAGAAATGATGGGTAAAATAGAAATTGGTCTATAATTGGAAATGTTTTCTTTGGGACCTTTTTTATAAATTGGCACTATTTTAGCTTCTTTCAGCTGATCGCGAAAGATACATTTGGTTAAACACAAATTTATAATATGAGTAAGTGAACTTGAAATCACCTCAGCTGACATTTTTAAAATTTTTGAACCTAGACTGTCTAAACCTGTAGCCTTTTTGGGTTCAAGGTTTTTAATATATCTTAGTACTTCTGAAACTGAGATAAGAGGTAGGTCAAATAGAAAATCACCAGAAACTTTGTCATTGACGTAATTTTGAATGATATTTGGTTGTTGGAGAGGTTTATACGGCGGCTTTATATCGTCTGTTATATTGGTAAAATATTCATTCATAAGTTCGGTAATTTGGATTGGGTCAGATGTTTTAAAGTCATGATGTTCAATAGTTTGCGGGTAATTCGGGCCAAATGATAATTTTCCTTGTAGAGAATTCAGTTATTGCCAGATGGTCTTATTGTCTTTTTTATTAATAATGATATCCTTAACATGGTCAGTCTTAGCCTGCTCTATTAACTTCTTACTTTTATTACGCCATTGTTTATATAAATTTCCATTGCCAATCAATTTATAATAATCTCTCTTCCTTCTCCTGGATTTAATTTCATCATTAAACCACAGGGGTTGAGTGGGATACTTTACACGCCTGGTTTTAATAGGGGCATGGTTATTTAAGACTGATAGAATAATGTCATAAAAAGTTGGTAGAGCGGTATCAATATCATTCATTTGCTCTATATTTGATAATGGAGAATTGATTAAATCATCTAAAAAATCAGAATCCTTAAAATTTTTAAATTGACGATATTGAATCATAGTGTGCCTATTTTTAAAATTTTTACTATTTTGAATATTCTTAATTGAGAAAATTACAGGCAGATGATCACTTAGACTGTATGGAGGTATTTTAATTTCTTTAATATTATCTGGTACGTTGGTATACAGATGGTCTATAATGGTAGCTGAAGAATCGGTTTTTCGCGTTGGTTGAACATTATCGGTAGATTATCAAACGCCACTGGATGTCTAATTCTTATGTAAACTCAAACTTCGTTTCATAAAATCGTTTCGTAATTTTACTGTAGCCTGTAAACATTCATTATATTGCCTTCATACATATATAACTTATATAAGTCTTTCCATTCTGAAGAACGTCAAAATGGAAGCGGAAAATTCAGTTCAATACTTCGTGAGAGTGTTGCAGGAAAAGTATTTAATGATCGCACTGGAGATATTTAAGATGGCATGAATTACACCTTTGGAAAAAGTAACATTGCCAGTACATATTATTTACTAAATATTGCTTTCAGAGCATACTGATTTTTAATATGGTATTACATGTAGGCCTACCGGTACCATTTAATTTAGAGGGCTGGGATCATGCTTGCTTTCTTGTTTTCAAACATCTTTTCACCTTGACATTATTTTTGATTCAATCAATAGGGCCTACTGAAGAATGCTAATATCAAATTTTTTTTGGGCCCCTGAATTTGAAATATTAGGCACTATTTCTAGAATTATCCATAATTATAGATTGTTAATTTTAACTGTGTCATCTAGGCCTATGATCAATTTAATTAACTTACAAGGCTTACAGCCTATTTGAAAAAAAAAGAAAAAAACAATCAATTTGGAGTTTCAAATCACGAATTTACGCGCTTTGGAAAAATCTCCCGACTTTTCACCGAATCTCCAGATTTTTCAAGGCAAATCTCCAGATTTTTTTTCCTGACCTGTACACATGTATGGTTGGTTCTATAACCAATTGTGATAAAGAAAAAGATGAAATAATGGTCTGCCAATGTTTCGGCACAGGAGAGTTAAAATCAATATTAAAATCACCTATTATGTAAAAAGTTGCGGATGCATATTTTGATGAAATATTATACAAAGTTTGTTCATATTTCTCATACCACTCGACATAAGAATGAGGTGGTCTATACGTTAAGGATAAAATAAAAGATTTGGAAAATTCAGGAAAAACCTTAAGCCATATACATTCAATTTCATTTGTTTCAAATTCAAGGATCCGTTCATACTTAATTGAATCTTTGATGTAAAGTAAAACCCCCACACCCTCTTGACCACAACGATCCTTTCTTTCAGTAGCATAATTTTCAACATACAGATCATCTTTTATAAGTTCATGTAAAAAAGTTTCAGTAAAACCCATAATACTTATATCATTTTCTGGTTGAAATAAAACTTTACGCATTTCATCAAGTTTGTCTTCCGTTTTGGTAATCAAACGATTGACATTTAAATGACCAATGATGTAATCCGATTTACCTTCACCTAATTTAAAAGGTTGGGTTATAGCTGATGTATCTAGATCAGGTGGTGTTATTACATCAGAAAAGTCATTCAGGGACAAACTTGATGAGATGTGAGAGTCTGATGAGGAAGGTCTGGTAGAATTATCATTTTCACCTGAAAGACAGACATCTCCCACCCTGTTCAGGCCATCTCTCTCACAATCACAGTGATTTTGGCTCGGTTTACATTCACCACCCAATTTTAAATAAGCAGATGACTGTAAACCAGCAGGTGGTGTTTGATAAAGGGCATCTGAGGATAAACTGAACAGAGTATGAGATGAAGAGACAGAGACAGCAGGTGAATTCAAGGTAGAAGGAATTGTGCTACTAACTGTGATGGAAACAGAGGGACTGAGAAGGGAATTTTCTGAGCTAACTGTTTTTGAGCTGTCTAGCTCATGTACTACCTTACATGACTTCGAAGAAACCGGTGGCTGTATTGACACTGGTATTGAGCTCTGGTCGGCAAGGTCTTTGCCGAGTCCCTAGTAATCCTGATAGTGATAATATGGACTAGGCCTGTATGTACTTCTCTTCTGATTTTGATATCTGCAGTAAGCAGATTTATGTCCCGCTTGTCCACCATTGTGACAATAAACATGGCCAACATTTCTACAAGATGAAACATTATGTCCTGTAACTCCACAGTTAAAACATGCATTTCGGTGCTCACTGTGTTCACTTTGTTTAATGATTGTCACATGTTCATTGTAAAGTTTGACAAGTTGGCTGGTACCCTTGTCTGTAAGGTCAAAAAATGATGGAAATTTGTCCTTGAACCATGAAAAACATGCCCAAACTTGGATATGTAGCACAGATGTAGACTCATGAAGAAAAAGTTTGAGTTTTTTATCATCAAGGATGCTGGATAACATATATCCATTAGTTCCTTTATCTTCAAAAGTTTCCTTCACATAATGATCAAAGAGTAAGGATTTGAATGTTTGAAAAAATTGTTCTTCCTTAAAAGCTACACAGATACTGCAACATTTATCTGTGTGATTAATAACAGTAAAATATCTGTTATTATTGATATCAATATTATTTTCCTCTTTTTTACTGGAACTGGTTCCTAATATTGACCCAATAAAACTGAACAAAAATGATGATGCCATGATATATATATATATTATAGACGAATAGTAAACAGAATATATTATATTAAAATAATAAACAAAAGGAAAAAGTACCAATGAAGGATAAATGAAAAGTACCACAACACTCAGTATACGGTTGAACAGTTGACAATTATATAATGTTCAAACAAAGACAAAATAATCCTCATAAAATAACCAGAATCACAGGGAAGAGTTATCTGGCACTAAACTTAGTATAAATCCAAAAATTAAAACTTTAAATCCTCAAATATAGCACTTTAGGTTAGTATTGTCTAGAGAGAAATTAATAGTGACTAGTAGCAGCGGCCATCTTGTCCCTTTTATGACTTGATAGTGGTGTCTTCTGAACTACAACATTTCAATCAAATTCAGCTTTCCACTGCCATGATTTAGTCATGATACTTCTATAAATCGTAATTACCCCGTTTTTTGACAAAATATTTGTTTTGTCTGCTAAAGGGTATTTTTACAGTGAATAGGTTCCTCTGTTACTCGAGAAGTTAAAAACTATTCATCACTATTAGGTACAATTCCCCTGTTTTTTGATCAAAAAAGGTGTTTTTCATCCCAAAACAAATGTTCAAATTTCCTTGAACAGTCTAGTAAATTTATATAATACAGGAACCACTTGAGAAAACACAAATGAAAATAAAAATCACAATTTCCCTGATTTCTGAACAAAATATCCATTTTTCATCTCAAAATAACAATATTATGCTTTTCATTTTTCTCATTGAATCTTACCTAAAAATTGAAATACTTAAAACTTTCAATGAATTGATAAAAATTTTAATTCAAATTTAGTTTTATTTGATTTTACAGAATTCTACAGATTTTGAATAAAAAGCACTGATTCCACCCAAAAATAATTCTCATTTACCAAAAAAATACCTATAAATGAGTTTATCAAGAATCCAGCTAAAATTGATTTAACAAGTCTGAGTTGATATCTTTGACGGTAAATGGTGTACAATTCATCAAATTCTTCAAAATTTCACTAATTAGTAATAATTAACCCAGGCTGGTAATGACACTTGACACATGACTCTATGTTGTCTTCTTGAATAGTTAGATAATCGAAATCATCAAATTCATAGTTTTCATCGAAACTCAATTCATCTTTATCACAATAAGGACACATAATTCCTTCACTATTTGGTGGTTTTCTCTTATCAAGATTCAAATAACTTCTAAAAACTTTATTTTGTTTATCATCATCCTATGGAATAACTATTCCATTGGTGGAACTCTTTTCCCATCTTTTCTTAAATTCATTCGTCACATCATGTCCACTAGCTAACTGAATATAATGGTCTACATTTATCTTATCTTTTAAAATACCATCAGGAGTTAGAATGATATTCTATTTGACTTTCGGTGCTAAATATAAACCGTATATAATTCCACCATCGCTTTAATCATTTTTCCTTTGCAATATTCGTTTTTGGACACTAAGCCAGCTTCATTTAATTTATTCCAATTGCTAGATGAAATGTATAAGCTCTATAGTATATTTTAGGCTTATGAAATCCATCTTTTACATGAATAAAATTATTCATTATTTTTTTTACTGTGTGACAATATGAATGACCCCAAATGACTAGGTGTTAGTTGTGGAGATTTACTGTTTGTTGGGTTTATTTCTTTTTCTTCATTTTCAGTTTCAACGATACATTGAGTATCGTTAATTTTCTCATAGCTTTTGATATACGAATCAAAGTTAGCCTTTAAAGTTGCTTCATTCCATTAATGTCTAGTTGTGTACATACATCATCCAGTTGATACAAATTCCTAACCGTTAAGCCGCCATCTTAAAAAAAGCAAAATATCAGAAAAATACTTCTTGTCTGCCATTTTTAATCCGAACTTTTTCAAACTTGTTTTAAATTGTTTTAAATTTTTTGAAATTTTGAATTTTATCTTTGCACAACCTTCAATCAAAGTTTTTTGTGATAGGCTTTGAATATCAAGGCTGATAACTTTTGACCTTGACTTACTGCAACCTTTAACTTTCGGCAAAAATATCTTCTGTGGCTACACTTTCATTTGATTCCTATATTTGTTATTTTGGTAAATTACTTTTGATTTTATGGGGTCTTGAAAATGAAAAATTTTCTTAAATTTGGTATGTTCAGAGGATTGTGCTTTCACAACAATCGGAATGGTGTCTCTACAATGTGCTCGCCACAAGCTTTTTAATGATATGTTAATGTAAGTTTTCGGACATTTACTTCTTGAAATATTAAGGTTTGAAAATGTTTAATATTTGTTAGTTCTTTTTGTAATTCAGTGTTAAATTTAGTTTCCAGAACAGTTAATTGATGTATCTTCATTTTTACCTGGAGCAGCAATGTTATCTATTAATAGTTGAACATCTATTTTTTGTTTTGTAATGTTATCATCTAATTGAGATATCGGTGAACTTAAATTTTGTAACTGAGTTTTTTTGTTCATTACATTGAACAATTGTTGTTGAATAAAACTTTTCAAACTTGTTACTTGTTGACTTTTGAAGAATCTTTTCACATCACTAGTTTATCTTCTAAATGATTTTTTATACGCTCACATGAAATGGGGGGCGTATATTGCCGTCACCCATGTCGGTCCGTCCATAATTGCTCATAAACACTCTATAAGACACAAAAAGTATAATATTATGATAACCGGTCTTGAGGTTGATAAGAAGGACAGTATAAAAGAGTGAGAAGGGAAGGTTGGCAACTATCTTTCTTCAAAATTGGGATTGGCGATCGTGGATATTGTGCAGACAATTTTATAGAATAATAAGAAGAAATCACTGTTGGTTAAGCTAAAAAGTTTAAAGGATAAGTCAGCAATTTTTGAGGGCCAGTAAGAAAGTAAGAGATTCGTCGAATGTACAGATAGCGAGTGATTTTTCATTTTCCGTTAGGCAGAAGAGGAAAGAGCTTATTCCCTACATGTTGACAGCACGAGAGAAGGGTTAAAGGTCAGGATTACGTTACGACAAGTTAATGATAGACGGTAACCTATATACACTGAAAGATCTTCTAGAGAATCAGTAAGTAAGTTGGACCAGTGCTAGTGTCTCACGTGACAAAGATGGCGGTGTAAACAAATAAATCTCTGGATCCAACAAAAAATTTCTAAGTTTTGTAACATAGAACATTAATGGGTTAAAAAACAAGGTACTGGATAATGATTTTGTGAAATACCTTGTAAAACATGACGTCATATGTCTGTTGGAGACATTTTGCAGTCACGATTTCGACTTGAAGTTACATTTTCCAAATTATTTATCACATTCCTGTATCCGAGGCGATGGACGTTAAAGAGGTGGAATTGCTGTTCTTTACAATGAGGAATTAAAAAATAGTATATCCAGGGTACACGAAAATCTTAAGGAGAAAAATTTTTCGACGGTTCAATGGCACAGATTTCGGCTGGAGTGAAGACTCAGTACTTGGATTTATCTACATTGCACCAGAAGGTTCAACTATTCATAAGGAAGTGGATGGATTTGATGGTTTTGAGGAAGACTTGCTCACTGTGCATTCTGATTTTCCAAATAATCCGTTGTTACTAACCGGTGACTTTAATGCAAGGACAGGAGATGGCTCTCTGCATGACTATGTGTTTGATGATTCAACCAAATACATACAGGTTCTGGATGTTGCAGACTATGACTCTGACACTTTCACCCTACCACGAAACTCCAAAGATAGTGTTGTGAATAACTATGGTAAACGACTTCTTGCATTATGTGCTTCGTGGAATATTCATATCGTTAATGGAAGGGCAGCTAGACACCAATGGAGAATTTACCTGCTTAAAGTACAATGGTGCCAGTGTAGTGGATTATCTATTGGTATCTACAGAACTTTTTAGCTATGTTTCTAATTTTACAGTCGTTAACAGAACAGAATCAGATCATTTCCCACTTGCATTTGACATTCAATGCAAAATATGTGACAACATAGATAACAGTGTTCCGGATCAAACATCTCAATTTCGAAAAATTGTCTGGAATGATAGCAGAATTTTATCCAAAACTTTGATGCATTCTTCGATACGTATGTCAATCTATTACCATGTTTAGAAGATGCATTGATGCACCTGATGTCTTATGTGAAAACATGTGCCAACCTTAAGCCCGTTAATTTAATTTCACCACACAAACCTTCACAGCAACCTGCATGGTTTGAAATATAATAACCTTAAAAGTTTTAGACAGTCAAATAATGAGACATCTCTGCAGAAATATAAAGTAAATTATTCGATGGAGTGTTCAACGCAGACACTTACTTTCCAGAGTCATGGTCAAAGGCATTAATTGTCCCCCTTTATAAGAAAGGTGCCACATCTGACCCCAATAACTATAGGGGAATATCTCTACTGGACTGTGTTGGAAAAATGTATGCATCTGTATCGAATTCAAGATTGCAAACTTGGTCAGATATAAATGATAAATATGTAGAAGCTCAAGCTGGTTTCAGACTGCAGTATTCAACTGTGGATCATATTTTTACACTGAGTGGCCTCATAGAAAAGTATTTGACAAAATCAAAAGGTAGATTTTACACACTATTTGTAGATTTTTCAAAAGCATTTGACTCGATAAATAGACAAAATCTTATGTCATTGCTTTTTACAAGGGGCATTCAGGGTAAAATGCATAGAGCTTTAATTAATATGTATACATCTGTGCTATCTAGTGTTAAATTAGGTAACCGAATAACCTCATATTTCGAATGCCACACTGGTGTATGCCAGGGATGTATTTTAAGCCCAATATTATTCTGCTTTTATATAAACCAATTAATTGATCTCCTGGAAAATAGCAATGCTAGAGGAATATTTACCATACAAGAGGTCAAGAAAATATTGGCATTATTGTACGCTGATGACGTAAGTTTAGTCTCTGACAGTGTAGGCGTCCTACAAAAGAAAATTAACACTCTAGAACTTTTCTGTGAAAATTTGCAATTAAATGTCAATCTTAGCAAAACAAAAGTAATAGTTTTCCGTAATGGAGGTATTTTGAGGAAAAATGGATCTTTAAGGGTGACCACCTGGAATGTGACACATACTACAATTACTTAGGTTTAATATTTTCCTCTAGGTTGAAGTGGAGCAAATGTCTTTATAATTATATAATAATTTTGTCACATACAGCTTGAAATTAATTATCTATTAAGTAATATGGTTGATTGTTGCCAACACAGTCCAAAAATGGTATTCTTTCAAGAGCGTTTGGCTTTGCCAGACATAGTCCGAATTTTGAATTTATTAAGAAGCATGGTTGGTGATTTCCATCTATTAAGAAGTATGGTTGTGATTTTGATCATACTTAGTTGGGAATTCGATCGTATTAAGAAGTTTGTTTGGTCTTTGCCACACACATTCTGAAATTTGTAATTATTATTTATTATGGTTGGTTTTTGCCAGACATAGTTGAAAATTGTGTATGTAAATGTGATTGTTGAAATATTGCACATGTAAGCATATAAGTAGTCTCTATTGTACTAAAGGGTGCCGTGTTCACTCTGCTAGGCAACCTCCATTTTGTTATCATTATATAATATTTATTTACATATTTACAATATTTATTTATACAATTGTTGATGTAATTATACATTGTATCATGGGTCAATGACCTTCTATACTGAATAAAGAAACTTACTTACTATAAGACACAATTCTTGACGGATTTTGGCAAAACTTGGTATGAGTGTTTGTAATCACCCAAGGATGAAACCTATTGAAAATCAGAAGAATCAAAAATATTTAGTTTAAGTTATTGCCCTTGTTCTTGAAAACGCGTTCAATTTTTAGCTCGTAAACACTCTAGAAGGCACAATTCTTGATGGATTTTAACGAAACTTTGCATGAGTGTTCGTAATCACCCAAGGATGAACCTTATTGAAAATCAGAAGTATCGAAAATATTTAGTATGAGTTATTGCCCTTGTTCTTGAAAACGCGTTCAATTTTTAGCTTGTAAACACCCCAGAAGATACTATTCTTGGTGGATTTTGACGAAACTTGACATGAGTGTTCGCAATCACCCAAGAATGAACCCTATTGAAAATCAGAAGTATCGAAAAATATTTAGTTTAAGTTATTGCTTGGCGTTCAATTTTTAGGTCGTAAACTTGGCATGAGTATTTGTTATCACACAAAGATAAACCCTATTGATAATCAGAAAAATCGAAAAAAATTAGCATGAGTTATTGCCCTTGCTATTGAAAACGCATTCAATTTTTAGCTCGTAATCACTCTAGAAGGCACAATTCTTGATGAAACTTTGTGTGAATGTTTGTAATCACCCAAGGTGAACCCTATTGAAAATCAAAAGAATCAAAAAATATTTAGTATGAGTTATTGCCCTTGTTCTTGAAAAGGCTTTCAAATTTAGCACTTAAACACTAAAAGGCATGATTCTTGCAGGATTTTGACAAAACTTGGTTTTATTATTCAGTCCTGCGCTGAAGATTGGATATTTGCATTTGTTTTCACGAGCTAAAAATTGAACACTTTTTCAATAACTCATACTCAATATTATTCAGTATCGCCCTAAAGAGTTCAAAAGAAGTGTATGACTGAAGGTTGAATATTTCATACTGATGATTATTACTGTACTGCTAAATATCTTTATTCAAAATCAAAGCTGCCAGTGGGCGTATATTACCTTGCTTGGCAAGCTATCTTGAACCTTTGCAGTGCTGTATCTCGAAGCCTAGATTTGTTATTGATACATTTAGAATACTTTCTTATATTTCTATTTTGATTTTCATGATGCAAATTATTATTATGAACTATCTTCAATAACATCATCTAAACTATTATAATCAAAATCGCTATATCAATACATATAAAAAATATATTATTGTCCTGTTATTTGACAGTAAGCCGAATAAATAGTTAGTAAAATAACTGAATAAGATGTGATCGACATCTATTTTGAGTGTTTCTGAAGAAGGCAGTAAGCCGAAACGTCAAATAACAGGACAATAATATAGTTTTAATTGGTTTCCCCTTTTTGGGAATTTGTGATATAATTTGATAAATATCAAATTCACATGCCCAAAATATTCCTAATTTTTCCTTTTCTGTTTGTGAAAAAACGTTTTTCTACATCACTTAGTGACCTACTTGCATAAGTTATTATTCTATGTTCACCTTTTTGTTCTTGAATTATTATATCACCTACACCTACAGGACTTGCATCAGTTATTACAAATGTTCTATTATTTTTATTAAAATATCCTAAGATAGAATACTTAGATAAGCATTCTTTTAATTTATTAAATGATTGTTCTTGTTTTAGACCCCATTCAAATGGTTTATTTTTCTTTTTTAACTTTCTCAAGGTTCAGCTTTAGTCGCAAAATTTTAAATATAGCGAGCGCTATAGCTGACAAGTCCTAAGAATGATCTTACTGTTGGACCAATTCCTCTCGCAGATATGTGTCCCATGAATTCTAACTGAGGCGTATTGAATTGAAAACAGTACTATGGTTTAGGTCATGCAAAACCTCATAAACAGTTGGTATTACATGTCTTTCTCTCACAATTGCACTATTGGCCTGTCTCATATCAATTTAAAGTCTTATATCACTGTTATCTTTTGGTACCACAACACACAGAGATATCCACGGTCTCGATCCTTTCACTTTTTCAAGTAAATCTACGTTTTCAAGTTCATCAAGTTTCTTTTCAAGATTTGGTCTCAAATTAAATCCTTCATGTCTAAATTGCTGTACAAAAGGTTTAACTGTATTGTCAATAGGAATTTCTAATTGAAAGTTCTTCCGTTTTATTGAAAGTTGGCAAAATTTGCAGTATTTCAGTGAATTTCACCAAAATTTCACCCACTTTTTTACTGGGGTAGATAAAGTAACAAGGTTTTGATAGACACCAAAATCATACACATTGGATAATAAATGGTGGTCTCAGGTAAAGGCACATTCATCACTTCCGTTTTGAATTTTTTCTTCAAATTATTTATTATAGATAATCTGTAGGGTTTTTGTCTACATTTGCGAATTACACAGGAAGCAGGATCACACAAGGTGATTAATAAATTTAGATGACACAGTTTTATTTGTATTGGCATCCTGTCTATATTGCACTTGATACATTTTGTTACATAGGGCATAAAAAGAAAAACCCGAGATAAATCTCACATTATGCAACTTCCGGACTAGCAAAATTTTCAATAAGGATATTTATCTTTGATTCCAGCCGATTTGAAAATCTTTGACTAAAACAAAAATACTTTACCATATCCAGTTTATGCTGGGAAACTTCATAAAAGGAAAGAAAATAAAAATTGATTGCATAAGAAACCTTGACAATTCGAGAAATGGATTTGCCACTCAATTATTATAATAGGAAGAATATTGTTTCTGATTGAGATGTTTCTGACAGTAATAATAATCTACAATTGTCACTTTAAATATTATTTATTTCTGTCACTTAAAATAATATTTACTACTATATTAGCAATAGTCACAATTACCTTAGCTAGTTTCTTCCATGTTATTTGTTTTAACATACGAGAACTGGAGAAATATTCACAGTTACATTAGCTAGCTATCTTTCGTGAATTGTTTTAACATACGAGAACTGTAATAATTCAATACTGTCATTTTATACGCCCACATGAAATGGGGGGCATATATTGCCATCACCCATGTCCGTCCGTTGGTCCGTCTGTCCACAATTGCTCATAAACACTCTACAAGACACAATTCTTTACGGATTTTGACAAAACTTGGTTCGTGTTTCGTAATCACCCAAGGATGAACCCTAATAATCGAAAAATATGTAGTATAAGTTATTGCCCTTGTTCTTGAAAATGCGTTCAATATTTAGCTCGTAAACAATCTAGAAGGCATAATTCTTGATGGATTTTCACTAAACTTGGCACGAGTGTTCGTAATCACCCAAGGATGAACTCTATAGAAAATCAGAAGAATTGAAAAATATTTAGTATGAGTTACTGCCCTTGTTCTTGAAAACACTTTCAAATTTAGCTCTTAAACACTGTAAGGCATGATTCTTGCTGGATTTTGACAAAACTTGGCTTTATTATTCAGTCACGCGCTGAAGATTGAATATTTGCCTTCTAAAGTTTCCACGAGCTAAAAATTGAACACGTTTTCAAGAACAAGGCCAATAACTCTTACTCAATATTATTCATTATCGCCCTAAAGAGTTCAAAAGAAGTGTATTACTGAAGGTTGAATATTTCATACTGGTGATTGTTACTGTACTGCTAAATATTTTTATTCAAAATCAAAGCTGCCAGTGGGCGTATATTACCTTGCCTGGCAAACTATCTTAATTAATATTTACTGCTACAAGAGCAATATTTACATTTACATTAGCTATTTTCTTTCGTGAATTATATTAACACACAAGAACCGTAATAATTAAATACTGCCATTTTAATTCATATTTACTGCTACAAAACCAATATTTTCATCCTTGATTTCCAACATATCCCTTATAGTAAATTGAGTGTCATCTCATAATTCATGAATAATATTAATAGTTTTAAGTTAACGTATTCTCTTTATGATATATAAATTAGGCTACTGGTTGTTTGCATCATGAATTTTTTTAACCTTTGTTTTTTTCCCAATAATTTGCAACAACCCAATACTTCTCTATACAAATCAACCAACTTTACTTTAAATCCAAATAATTTATTTATTTGTATCATAAAATAATCACAATAGTATATTACATTATTGTGTTAGTTTTCAAACAACTTTAACACAAAATTCTCACCTAAATGTAACTATGTCAATCTTAGCTTCTTTCCTTTTTTGGTATTATTTTATTCTTTTTGTGTAACTTTACTTGCCAAGGTAATATGTAAATTAGACTTTTCCCATTACATATTTTATTTTAAATTATTTTTTATTTTATGTGAGAGCTACTGTTAGGCTGATGACAGGTATTAGTTTTATACGCCCACATGAAAGAGTATATTTTCGTCACCTATGTCCGTCCGTCTGCATTTGCTCGTAAACACTCTTGAAGGCACAATTCTTGACTGATTTTGACAAAACATTGTAGGAGTGTTTGTTATTACCCAAGGATGAACCCTATCGAAAATCAGAAAAATCTAACAAAAACTTAGTATGAGTTTATTGCCCTTGTTCTTGAAAACTTTGAATTTAAATTTCTACACCATATTATATTTACAAACGATAAACTTTTAAAATTGGCAAAGAGAGTAGTACACTTTGTGATTTCTGCTCCAAATCTAATGAATCCATTGAACATATATTTCTTTGTTGTAATAAATCACAAATTTTCTGGATCTATCTATCCAATGATTTTTGGATAAAAATATTCCAATTAGTTTAACTACTTTCGTAAAAACTTTTGGAATTTTAGAAAGTGATACATTTAGTTCAAAACCTTTATGGCATTATTTTATTCATGTTGCCATTCTAACAAAATATTTGATACATAAAACGAAACTTCAAAAATCTGACCTAAGTATCTTAGAATTCTTAGAAAATAATAGCTCATACTGATATCTTATGATAATGATTTCGCCAACCATAAATGGGCGTTTTTGATTTTATTTAATTATTAGAGACCTCATATATTGAAAATAATTTGTATCAGGGTTTTTATGTATGAATATCAAGGTAAAGTGTATGTTATTGTTGTTAGCATATTGTCAATTCTTTTTTTTTGTGACTTTACCACACCTTTTCAAGCAAAGGCTGCAACAGCTGTGGCAACATTTCTACATTTGGGGACCTTCTGTAAAAAAAGTAGAAAATCGGCTTTAGAAGTCGCATTTTTGGTTTGATTTTCTATGGATTTTCTTTTTTCGAATCTACTTTTTTCGATTCTACTTGTAATATCTGATATATAGCACTTAAAAAATTTCGAAAATCAAAAATTTGTTGCAGACATTTTTCGATCAAATTTTGCAATTTTTACACAGAAAATTTTGTTTTTGTTTTTAGTCCGATTTTTTTAAAATTTTTGATGCAAAAACAGATCACTAAAGTACACAATATGGTACAATCAAACTTTTGAATTTGACTTTCCCTTCCAGGTTCAACTACTTCCGGTGTAGTTCATGTAGAGCAACAACATTTATATTGATCGGTTTTATTACAAAAAAAAACGAAGAAAAAAAAAATCCGGACTGGAAGTGATATTTTGGCTGCCATATTGATATGAAACACTTATGTAAAACCAAAAATGAGGCCTTTATGGAGAAGTGGGCTTATATAATTTTGATGTGTATGTAAACTGCAATCGATTGCCAACAAAAAAAAGGAAGCAAATTTATGAATTTCGTATCTCATGACCTTGACCTTTGATGACCTTGACCTTCATTGGGTCCAAGGTCATTGACCTTGGCTATCAGTTGATACTTTCATATTTGACCTCCGACATTCCGGTTGTATGGCTGTCTGAAAACAGCCAAATTCACAACTTTTGACTGCTCTAGCAATTACCCTAAAGGTTTAATTTTTCGGATTCTTAATGTGCTACTTATGCTCTTTCCAGTGATAATAAACAATTGTTTTTTAAAGTAAAATTGAAATTGGTGATTTTTTTACCAAATATTTGCCTCTTTGAGCTTTGTGTATGATTATCCTCTGACCTATTTGGTGTAGAAGCTTGAAATTTGGAATACAATTAAACATTTTGGATATTAATTGACCTATGTTAAAAGTTGAGGTTGGCGTGGCACATCCGGGTTAAATTACTCGTTGCAAAGAATATATTTGTTCAAAAAGGAACTTTCCACACAATACATCATTCATTTGGCCAGTTTGTGTTAAAAGAGCAGTTGTTTCAGCTTTCTAGTTCAAAAAACGGGTTTTAGAATTTTCAAATTTTAGATTTTGACCATGACTTGGTAGGATCAAAGGTCATTGGCCTTGGCTTTAGATTGATACCTTCATATTTGATGCCCACGGTTTATACGGTTTGTATTTCAAAGTTTTATGACTGATATCTCGTGACATAGACCTTTATTGACCTTCACCTTAACAAGGTCAAAGGTCATTGACTTGATGTCTGAGATCTACTACCGGTTACACAACCTTCCAAAAAGAGAATTTTTCACAACTTTTGACTGCTTTAGCACGTGACCTATTTAACATAGAAGGTTGATTTTTTTCAAATCCCCTAGCAAATTGGCACATTAGCAAAGTCCCACTCAGTACCACGAGTGGTTCTTGTAATGTGATTGTTTTCTAATGTAATGCAATGATAATAATGAAGATAGCTTGCCAGGCAAGATAATATACGCCCACTGGCAGCTTTGATTTTGAACATAAATATTTAGCAGTACAGTAACAATCACCAGTATGAAATATTCAACCTTCAGTCATACACTTCTTTTGAACTCTTTAGGGCGATACTGAATAATATTGAGTATGAGTTATTGCCCTAGTTCTTGAAAACGTGTTCAATCTTTAGCTCGTGAAAACTCTAGAAGGCAAATATTCAATCTTCAGCACAATAATGAATAATAAAACCAAGTTTTGTCCAAATTCGGCAAGAATCATGCCTTCTAGAGTTATTATGAGCTACAAATTGAACGATTTTTCAAGATCAAGGGCAATACTAAATGTTTTTCGATTTTTCTGATTTTCAATAGGCTTTATCCTAGGGTGTTAACAAACACTCAAGCCAAATTTCGTTAAAATCTGTCAAGAATTGAACATTCTAGAAAGTTTACAAACTAAAAATTGAACGCGTTTTCAAGAATAAGGGCAATAACTCATACTCAATATTT